GGATTCTAGGCAGGTGCTCTACCACTGAGCCACACCCCAACCCCTCACTGGAGGATTCTAGGCAGGTGCTCTACCACTGAGCCACACCCCAGCCCCTCACTGGAGGATTCTAGGCAGGTGTTCTACCACTGAGTCACACCCCAGCCCCTCACTGGGGGATTCTAGGCAGGTGTTCTACCACTGAGCCACACCCCAGCCCCTCACTGGGGGATTCTAGGCTGGTGCTCTACTACTGAGCCACACCCCAGCCCCTCACTGGGGGATTCTAGGCAGGTGCTCTACTGCTTAGCAACTACCCTTATCCTCTTTTTATTTTGCTTTTGAGAAAAGGTCTCACTGAGTTACCTGGGCAGGCCTTGAACTCACTCTGTCACCTTGAACTTGTATCAACCTCCTGAGGAGCTGAGATGTTAGACCTGTACCACCAGCCCCAGCTCCTTCTTTCACTTTGGTTCCATGTTGGCCTGTAGACTATCAGAGAATACTGTCATCTGTGGTCAGGATGGGTCCCCCCCCTCAGCTGTTTTCCCATATGTCCTCTGGGAATACTCTCACAGAAGTATATTCCATTCATCTCCTAAGTATCTCAGTATTTGCACCCTTTTAGTATGTGTGTGTTCTTGTGTGTGGGGACACATGAACTTACAAATGTGTGTACATGTGTCCTAGTTAAGGTTACTATTGTGGGGATAAAACACCATGATCACAGCAAGTTGGAGAGGAAAGGGTTTACTTCACTTGTCTTACACTTCCACAGTGCTGTTCTGTTCATTCTCTAAGGAAGTCAGCACAGGAACTCAAACAGAGCAGGAACCTGGAGGCAGGAGCTGATGCGGAGGCCATGGAAGCTAGTTACTGGCTGTATTTGGAATTTTCTTTGGGCCACCAACCAGCTCCAAAATAAAGACACAGAGACTTGTTAATTATGAATGCTCAGCCTTAGCTTAGGCTTGTCTCACTAGTTCTTTTAACTTAATTTAACCTGTTTCTATTAATCTATGTTTTACCTCAGGGCTTTTTACCTTTCATTCTGTATGTCCTACTTTCCTGCTTCCTCTGTGTCTGCCTGTCTGGCCCCTGGTGTCTCCCTGATATTTCCCTGGTGTTTCTCTTCTTTCTTCCCTGAGCCTAAATTCCTCCTATTTACTCTCCCTGCCTGGAAGTCCCGCCTATACCTACCCCCTGGCTATTGGCTGTTTAGCTACTGGCCGTTCAGCTTTTTATTAGACCAATCAGGATGCCTTAGGCAGGCAAGGTAAAACAGCAACACATCTTTACATAATTAAACAAATGCAACACATCTTTACATAGTTAAACAAATATTCTGCAACATAAACAAATGCAACACATCTTTGCACAGTTAAGCAAATATTCTGCAACAACTGGCTTTCTTCTCATGGCTTGCTCAGCCTGCTTTCTTATAGAACCTGGAACCATCAACCCAGGGATGGCACCGCCCATCATGGTCTGGGCCCTGGCCCATCAATCACTAAGAAAATACCCTTGAGGCTTGCCTATAACCTGAGGCATTTTTTAAATTGAGGCCTTCTCCATTCTGATGACTCTAGCTGTGCCAAATAAAACTAGCCGGCACAATGTGTAATAGAGACAAAGGGACAACCTCAAGTCTCATGTCCTTCCTCAGGTGCTGTCCACCTATTTTTCATTTTGAGACAGTGTCTCTCATTGGCCTGGAACTAGGTTGACCAGCCAGGGAGCCCTAGGGACCTGCCTGCTCCTGTCTGTGTAGCTCTGGAATTAAAAGCATGATTCACAACACCAGGAGGCTGTCTGAAGGTGGACTGATTCTGGTGATTGAACTCCGGTCCTCAAGCTTGTAAGGTAAGCATTTTATCAACTGACCTATCTCCTCAGCCCCAAATTTGCATACTGATCAGTACGGGAGTTTTGACTTGCTGTTTCCAACCTGGGCCATTCACCCCTCCTTAGAAAAACCTCATGGTTCCCTGCTCCTGGGAAGTCACCATGCTGATGGATGTTGAACTTAGTGTGGGTACCCCATCAGTACAGCCCAGAACTCCTGGACTCAGGTGACCCTCCTGCCTCAGCCTCCAGAGTAGCTAGTGAGCCACTGAGACTGGCTCAAATTCTGCATGCTGAAGCCCCGACTCCCGGTTTACTATGAGTGCAACTGGAGACAGGGTCGCCATAGAAGTGATTCAGGGAGGGTGACATCATTAGAGTGCCTTGCTTCAGTGGGGCCAACTCTCTAGACTGTAGACTTCTGGCCTGCAAAACGGGGAAGAGAAAAATGTCTGTGGTGTTGGTCACAGTGTCCCTGGGGACCACAGCATCCACTGAAAGCAGTTCTGAGGATTAAGTGAAAAGCAACTGAGGCCAGTGTAGGGGAGATCTCATGGGATTCAGCCATGACAAAATGCAAGCCATGGTGCCTCTCCCATCTGTGACCCAGTGTTGAATCATTTTATTTCTGGTGGATGGATCCACATAGGGGCTTTGTAGCTAGCACTATACATCCGACAGACATTTTCTGGAGAGATGCAACACACACACACACACAGTTTATTCACCCCACATCCCAGAAAGAGAACTCACGACAGACCAAAGTAAGAAGCATACCCAAGTTCAACTTAGTGAACCAATGAGTTTTTTTATTGGGGCCACTAACAGCAGCCTGGATGAGGAGCAGGAGCAGGAGCAGGAGCAGGGGTGACTCAAAAGCAGCTGGGTCACTTTGAAAGCACACTCCAACTAGAAGATGATTGGCAGGCAGCTCCACCGTCTGAGAAATCTTGCAGTTTGGCTGATCCGTCCCCTCCCCCACCAGCTGTTTCCTGCTACTATAAAGCTGAGGAAGGGCCTTCTACAATCTTCCGACTCACCAAACATGTGACACTGTTCTACCTCCGGAATCTTATAAGCCTCTACCTCCCTCCTGGAGGATACCGCTGTAGGACATGGCACACCAATCATGATGCAAGGGACACAGAGGTGGCGAAGTTAGATGGAGTTAAATACGAAGAGAAGCTGGGCGTGGCAGCACATACCTGTAACTCCAGTACCCAGGAGACAGAGGCAGGAGGATTGTGACTTAGAAGCCGGCAGGGGGTTACATAGCAAGATCCTGTGTTTAAGCACCCAGGTCTGGAGCCAGCTAGCCAAGAGTGAGTCTCACGACTACTTAGGAGAGGTGTGGGAGTGAGGGCCTCCCACCCATTCCATATGGTGTTGCTCAATCAAGGTCAAGCCACCAGGCCCTTCTCTTGTTACAAAGATGTCACAGGCCCACACTTAGGATAGGCCATACAAAGTTACAACTGTGCGTGTGTTTATTTTATTTTGAGCCATGGTCTCATATATCCCAGCCTGGCCTCTCTTGCTGGGAAGCTGAGAATAACCTTGTACTTTTGATCCTCCTTGTCTCAGCCTCCCAAATGCTGAGATTAGAGGTGTATACCATGGCTTGTTGCTTTGTTTCAGAGGGTTTCTCCTTAAACAGTCCAGTCCAGCTTGGAACTCAAGATCCTCCTGCCTCAGCCTCCCAAGTGCTGGGATTACAGGTGTGTTACCAAGCCTGGAATACTTGCTTATCTACTCTGTAAACTTCAGATCTTTTCAGAACAGGGTACATAGGGCTAGTGAGAAGGCTGTTGGTAAAAGTGCCTGCTGCTCTGAGTTGAAACTTCAGGATTCACACGGTAGGAGAGAACAGATTCCAGCAGGTTGTTTTCTGACCTCCACATCCACAGTAACTAATAAATGGTTAAAATACTAGGATAGTGCATAAAGTTTAAAAAGGCAGCAACAGAAGAACCAATAAGCTATTTAACAATTACACTGAGCACTTGGACAGCAGCCGAGTCTTCAGTCGGATCTCATAAACACAATCGCGAAGACTAAGTGCTATAATAAAGCGCCTGTAATATTTTAATAACTTCCTCTTCGAACCGGTCATTTAAGATTGAGTGTGTACTGAGCGCGGAATATGGATGCTGACTGCGGGGAGGTGGCCTGGAACCCGCAGGTAGCTGGCTGCACAGGCGGCGCTCGGCACGGAACCCACCCGCAGAGTGCGCGCGGCTCCACCCATTCATCCCCGGCTTGGCAGGGTTATCTCCGAGGCCCCGCCCACCCCGCGGCTACCGCCGCACACGTGATCGCGGACTACTGTTCCCTCTCCCCGCGTGGGTCAGGAAACGGCAAGCATGCTCAGCCCCGGACACCGGAAGGCGCCGAGCACAGCGCTCTGCGCACGCGCGGAGGGCAGCGGGCACCACCAGGGGGCGCTGCGGATGCCGTGGGGGAGGGGCGCGCCGCCGCACGGGACCACGTGCGCACCACGTGGCGCCCGGCAGCCCGGGGGCCGTGGCAGGGTCGCCCGGTTGACCACCCCACAGCCCGCGTGGGTGGCGGAAGCCGTTCTCCCCGTCTGCTCCCCCGCGCCCGCTGACCTCTGACCTCCGACCTCACCGCCTTAGGGTTACCCCTCGCAGCCGGCCGCGCGGTGTGTTTATAAACAGAACTCCCGGTGGCCGCGAAACCCCGGATCGCTGGATTCACACCCAAGGGAACGGAGCTCCCGCACATGCGCACCCGTCGCTACACCCGCGCATGCGCATGGAGGCCCGGCGCGGGTGGCTGTCTCCGCCCAGTGCGTCCTTGCGCAGTACCGGGCGACTCTTCCGGGAAGTGGGGCCCGGGAGGTTAAATATTGACCACGCGTGAGCCAGAATCCTGCCCACTTCCCTTGACCGTAGTGTCCCCAGTGGACACAGCGAACCTGGAGGCTAAGGATCCTGAAGAATCAGTACCACACGCGTATATTACATGTTTTATTTAAAAAGTGGGAGGAAATGAACACTATGATGAGCCTCTAGGACGTTGTGCAAAAGGTGACGCATATCTGTAAATCTCAGCAGCTGGGATGCTGAGGCAGGATGACGAGTTCGAGACCAGCCGTAGGCCGCGTGAGTCTGCTTATAAGAGGTCTCTGGAATAGTAACAGTCATAGGAAGTAAAAAGGTGGCTTAAGGGAGTAGGGAGGGGAAAACGAAAGTGTTTATTCCCGCAGAGTACCTTCTCGGGAAGTTAGAAAAGTTCTGGGCATGGGTGGTGGTGAACAGTGTGAATGTACTTGGTGTCGCAAGACTGTTCTTAGAAACGGTTAAGGTATCCGGGCTGTGGCATAGTAGGTGGAGTGCTTGCTTAGTATTACACCCCACGAACACATAAGCCAGGCATGGTGGTGCTTGCCTGTATTCCCATCATTTGGGGGAGGGAGGCAGAAGGATCCTAAGTTGAAGGCTACTTTGCACTATAGCAAAAGAGAGCCGTTCTGAAGTTTCTTACATGGTTTTCATAGGTCAGGTCGGATGCCTGTGCTGTCGCACTGGGAAAAGGACAATATGATACTTTTTTTGAGCTAAGAGGCTGGTGCTGGGTTCTCACCTGTGTCAGTCTGAACCCCCCATCCCTAAACAATACCCAGTTTCAGCCCTTCTTAGGTCAGTCTCTTACCTCCCCAGCACCAGCTAGGGGCAGCAGCCCCCACTCTACCATTTCTGGTTTATATTCATTGTGTTCCTGCTTACTAAACACTAGGTATTATGCAAGGAGGTAAGTGACCCATACAGTTACATAAGGACTCTTTCCTGCAGGGACTTTCTACTCTGCTAGAGGCCATTGTTGATGAAGACAGAAAAATGTCAAGTGGTGACTGCTGGCAGAAAGGGTGATTTTAATTAAAATTTTCATTCTTTTTGTAGATTAAAAAATTAGTTTATTTTCTTACATATTACATCCTGAATGCAGTTTCTCCTCCCTCCTCACCTCTCAGTCCTCCCCTCCCTATCTACTCCTCCATTTCCTCAGGCCTCCCAGGAATATCAACCAAACATGGTATGTCAGGTTGCAATAAGACTAGGCGCCGGTAGGAGAAAAGGGTCCCCAAAGCAGGCAAAACCACCAGAAACAGCTTTCCTTCCTCCCCGTTGGGAGTCCCACAAAAACATCAAGTTATACAACTACAGCATATACATTGACTCATTTTGTATGTGTGCATCTTCCCGAGAAGTTACTCTGTTTCCATTAAACATCAACTTTGCTTTCTCTAGTCCTACTTCCAATGAGTATGTGTGTGTCTGTGTGTGTATGGACACATGTGTCATAATGCATGTATGAAGATCAGAGGACAACTTGGAAAAGTCAGTTCTCTCCTTCCATCAGGTGAGTCTCAGGGATTGAACTCAAGTCATCATCGTCCCTATCTGCTGAGCATCTCACTGGCCTGTGATCTGACCTCGATCAGGAGATGGTGAAGAATCTGCTGAGCCTGTTCCTTTGAGCTGACACCTGTGTCATGTGTCACAAGGAGACAGTGGAGGGAGAGCTGGAGTTTTTCCTGGGGGTTTCCATGGAGAGAGAAAGCAAGCAATATACAAAGCTCTAGGGCTGGGATCACCTGTGAGTCTGAGGGACAGACAAAAAGGTCAAGTGGAGGCATGTGAGGAAATGTGCAGGCATGCCTCTTGTCATATTTGTGTGACAAATCACCCCAGTGTATAGGTTAAAACCACAGTCACTCTGTTTGAGTCACAAGTTTATGGCTGGGGGGTTTCTTAGGAGTCTTCTATAATGGTTATTAGATGTTGTAGGCGTTTGAAGGCTGGATAGGGCTAGGCCTCCAAGATGGTGCCTTCCTGTCGTTGGCTGGTGGTGCTGGTTGTCAATGGGGCACTAGAAGGGATGTCAGGAAGGTGTCCCTGTGACTTTTCCAGAGTAGCAGTCTTAGTGGTTAGACTGCTTTCTCTCCTCCCATGCTCTGTGTGTGTGTGTGTGTGTGTGTGTGTGTATGTGTGTGTGTGCTTGCGTGCTTGCTAGAGGTGGAAGCTGATGTCTTCCTTATTCTCTCTCCACCTTAGTTTTTGAGCTAGGTTCTCTCATTGACCAGGAGAGAACTACCCCATTGTCTGGGTAGGCTGGCTGGTCAGTGAGCTGTAGCTGGAGAGTTTTCTCTCTGGTTCCCGCCAATCCCCGGCAGTCCCTTAGCCCACTTATAAAATAAACATACAGACACTTATATTATTTAAACTGCTTGGCCATTAGCTCAGGCCTACCATTGTCTAGCTCTTACTCTTATATTTAGCCCATTTCTATTAATCTATACTTTGCCACGTGGCTCGTGGCTTATTGGTACCCTACATCGTCCTTGTCCTGGCAGCGGCTGCAGTCTTCCCCTTTGCCTTCCTGTCCCTTAATTTTCCTCTCTGTTAGTCCCGCCTATACTTCCTGTGTTTTATTTATTAACCAGTCAGAGCAACACATTTGCCATACAGAATATCCCACAGCAGTGAGCTCCAGGGATCCCACCATTTCAGTGTCTCTAGTGTCCAGCTGTACTTTACATGGATGCTGGGAATTGAACTCAGGGCCTCATGCTTGAGCAGCAAGTGCTTAACTAAATGAGCCATCTCCTAGTCCCTTTCTCTGCTTTCTGTTTTAGAATAGGATCTTACTGAGTTGTGCAGCCTGGGCCTCGGACTTTCAGCTTTCCTGCTTCAGCTCCCTCCAATAGCAAGGATGATTGGTCCCCACCATTGGGCCTGGCTGTATTCATGGTTAAATTTGCAGCATCCAGTGAAGGCCCTGGCCTCCAGACATCACTCAGTAAGTGCTTGAGGTACTGGTGAGTAATAGATTTAATGAGGAATCCATTCCACAGGCTCAGTATTCTTAAACAGCAGCTTGCGGAGCATATGCAAGGAGCTTTGTGGAAGTTCCCAGGGTTCTCTGCAGTGTCCCTTAGACCCGTTTCACAGAGAAGAGCTAGAGGTTCATGGGGGAGAGGCATTGGTAGGGTTGGGTTTTGCTGATGACGACCCTCTGCTCTCCTGTGCCTGACTTGTCACTCGTCAAAGGTAGTGTTCAGTTGTGACGAATTATCGAAACAGACCTCATATCCACAGGTGGCTAAGCAGTCTCATGATGGCAGGTGACAAAAAGCACTGGGGTAAGATTGGGCTGAGGCTGTAGCTCAGTCAGTAGAATGCTTGCCTAGCATGCACAGAGCCTTGCATTCCATCCCTACCTTGCAGCATGCCTGTAATTTCAGCGCTTGGGAGGTAGAGGCAAGGGGATCAGGAGTTCACAGCCATATACCCCAGGTCAGCCTGGGATATGTGAGACACTGTCTCAAATAAACCAGAATGAGCAGGGCACAGTGGCTCACTGTAGGTGTTGGAGTGGGGAGATGGCTCAGTTGGTAAAGTGCTTGCCATGTAAACACTGGGAACCCAAGCTTAACCCCCAGAACCTACAGAAGAATGCCAGGCATGATGTGCACGCTTGTGATCCCAGCCCCAGGAAGAAGCTGCAGGCAGAGTCTTGTGGCTCACCGACCAGTTGGCTAGCCTAGCCTCGTGGATGAGCTCCAGTCCAGCGAGACCCTGTCTCAATGCACAATGGGAACACTGCTTAAGGAACAAGAGCCAATGTTGATCTCTGCCTTCCAGAGGAGGCAGTCTCTCTAGTCCCCCGAAATAAGTTTTAGGAATCCTGAATATACTATGAATTGTAAGACTAAGTTTTCACAAGTAAGATGTTTCGATTAAGATATCACCTCTTCATGCCTGCTGATGTCACATGACATTGCTCGCCTAATCATTTATTCCATGGCAAAAAAAAAAAAAAATTGCTTGCAAGCCTGAGATCCTGTAATTATCCGTTTGGCTGAACATGTCTCACAAGATCTTTGTGGTACACTCATGATGAGGGAGGCAGGGACTCTGCCAGGTGCAGAACACTGTTGGCAAGGGGACAAGTCACATGAAACAGGGTGACGGCCAGGGATTGCTCCTGTGGGATCCTAGGACTCATAACCTGGCTGGTAGGTGTAATAGTGCATGCCTGTCATACCAGCTACTTTGGAGGCTGAGAAGGGAGGACCTTGACTTTAAGGCCATCCTGGGCTAGATGGTGATAATCTGTCTCAGAACAAAATAAAAAAACCAGCAAAATCCAGTGTTGGGGAGCCATGCCGATCCCTGGAGCAAGCTGACAAGCTATAACCACTAAGCTCTGGGTTCAAGTGAGAGAGACCTCGTCTCAGCAAAAAGGTGGAGAGTGATTGAGGAGGATGCATCTTAATTTGCTTTCCATTGCTATGGTAAAGCACCATGAACATGTTTGTGCATATGTACACATACAGTAAACTAATGTTTACATTTTCTTTCCCTTATCACGTAATGTAATATCGATTGAGAGAGTATCAGTAGTTACCACGTTTAAGTTATGAGACACTAAAAGATTAAGGACTCCTCAAAGGACCTTGCCATCTATTCTAAAACATAATCCTTTGCAGTTGTATGTGAGATAGTTATGTTAGGCAGAAATATGACCTGGTTATTGTTTTCATTTGGAAATTAATCACAACATAAGGAGATATGATTATGTGTCAAGTTGACAAGCGGTGGATTTGTGGTGGCTATTCTTGGTTGTCAACTTGACTACACCTGGAATCAACTAAACCCTGAGCTGTTGGGCACACCTGTGAGGGATTTTCTTTTTTCTTTCTTTTTTTCTGTTTATTCTCTCATGTATTGCATCCTGACCGGTTTCCCCTCCTTCCCCTCTCCCCAGTTTCTCCTCCCATTTCCCCTTTCTCCCAGATCCACCCTCCCTCAGAAAACAGCAGGCTTCCCAGGGACATCAACTAAACATGGCATAATATGCTATTATAAGACCAGACACATACTACCACATCAAGGCAGATGAGGCAACCCAGTAGGAAGAAAAGGGCCACATAAGCAGACAAAAGAGTCAGTGGCTGTCCCCTACTCCCACTGTTAGGAATCCCACAAGAATGCCAGGGTACTCAGCCATAATATATATGCAGAGGACGTAGGTCAGACCCCTGCAGGCTCCCTGATTTCTGCAAGCCCCCATGAGGTCCCACTCAGTTGATTCTGTGGGCCATGTTCTTTTGGTGTCCCTGACCCCTCTGGTTCCTCCTACCTTCCTCCCCGTCCTCTTCAGGACTCCCTGAACTCTGCCTAATGTTTGGCTGCATCTGCTCCCATCAGTTGCTGGATGAAGTCCCTCTGGTCTCTTTGATGAGGATTCTGCTAGGCTCCTCCAGTTCCAGAACACTCTGCAGGCAGGACAAGCTGTAGGTTAAAGGTTTTGTACCTGGGTTGGTGTCCCAGTCCCTCCACTGAGGCCTTGCCTGGTTACAGAAGATGGCGGTTCAGGCTCCGTGCCCTCCATTGCTAGGAGTCTTTGCTAGCATTGCTCTCATAGATTCCGTTGAGTTTCCATTACATTAGGTTTTCACCCCCTCCAAAACACCTCTCCAATTTCAGTTGTTTCTCCCAGTATTTATCCCCCCACCCCTCACACACTTGATCCCTCCTATTCCCAATCCCACCCTCCCCCAGTCCACTCTCAAAATTTATTCTATTTCCCCTTCCCAGGGAGATCCTTGTGTCCCCACTTAAGTCCTCCTTGTTACTTGGCCTCTGGGTCTGTGGATTGTAGCCTGGTTATCCTTTAGTTTGTAGCTAATATCCACTTATAAGTGAGTACAAGACCATGCTTGTCTTTTGGGGTCTGGGTTACCTCACGATGATGTTTTTTCAAGTTCCACAGGCCACGTCAGTGGCATCCTGTGCTGGGATCCACACAATTCAGGATCCAATGCCTCCCCCACACTAGGTGAGGCTTCCCTCTGTCTCTCCAGCTGCTAGCACATGAGACTAGACATGAGTGAGCACCTGGGCTTCAGACCTCTGTCCCTGGTGGCTTTGGGAGCTGGTGTTTCCCTTCTTTTTGCTACAGCAAGAGAGAATAGTTATAAGCTAATGGTTGTCTGTCTATGAGCTAATGGTAGCCTGTCTATAAGCTAATGGTAGCCTGTCTATGAGCTAATGGTTGTCTGTCTATGAGCTAATGATTGTCTGTCTATAAGCTAATGGTTGTCTGTCTATAAGTTAATGGTTGTCTGTCTATAAGCTAATGGTTGTCTGTCTATAAGCTAATGGTTGTCTGTCTATGAGCTAATGGTAGTCTGTCTATGAGCTAATGGTTGTCTGTCTATAAGCTAATGGTAGCCTGTCTATGAGCTAATGGTTGTCTGTCTATAAGCTAATGGTTGTCTGTCTATGAGCTAATGGTTGTCTGTCTATAAGCTAATGGTAGTCTGTCTATGAGCTAATGGTAGTCTGTCTATGAGCTAATGTAGTCTGTCTATAAGCTATTGGTTGTCTCCATCCAGATCAAAGGCCTGGTTTGGACCGTAGTGCCCTACCTCTGTAAGCTGAGTCTGCAGCAGCTTTGCTTGCTCTGAAGAGGCTCTGGTGTCCTGGAGGGAGCAAAGCAGGACCCCTCATCAGCTCCTCTCTTGAGTCCCACCCTGTCCAGCTGCAGTTCCCCTAAGCAGCTGGCCTGCATCCTCTAGGCTTCTGTCCTGACCTCCAGCTCCCAGGGTAGACAGGAAAGAGAATCCAGAGGAAGGGCGGTCTGAGGGATTCTCCTCTGAGCTTGGCTTGGAGGGATATGATGGGGATGCTGGTGTTGTGGGCTGGAGAGGGAGAACACTCATTTAATCATTTGATCATGGGGATCAACACTTATTGATCACCTCCTGCTGTGTGACAGGCAGTTTGCTAAGTGCCGGGGACACAGAATCAATGCAGAAAACAAATAGTGACTAAGCATTGCCCAGATAGGTGAGGTCACCATTAAGAACTACCTCCAAGGGCCAGGAACAGATCTAAGAAAGGTTTCTCCTTCTTTTTCTTTAGAGACAAGGTCTTGTTCTGTAGTCCAGGCTGGCCTCAAACTCAGAAACATTTTCTGCCTCATCCCCTTCAACAATGGGATTTTCACTTTTAATTGTGTATATGTGGGTGGAGTATGTGCTCATGAACACAGGTGCCCATGGAGGACAGAAGAGGTCCCCAGATCCCCTGGGTTAGAGTCACAGACAGTTGTGAGCTGTCTGCTATAGGTGCTGGGAACCAAACTCAAAGAGAAACAAGCATTCCTAACCATCGCAGGATGGTTTTGTGTGTGTGTGTGTGTGTGTGTGTGTGTGTGTGTGTGTGTGTGTGTGTGTGGGTAGGCACTTGTGTGTCTATGCATGTGGAAGCCAGAGGACAGCCTCCTGGGTCATTCAGGAGTCCTCTGCCTTATGTTTTGAGGTAGAGTGTCCCACTAGCTTGAAACTCAACAAGTTGGCTGAGCAATTCCCTGGCCAACGCACCCCAGATGCCTGCCTGTCTTCATCTCCCCAGCACGGGGCTCACATGTTCATCACCACACGGGCTTTTAAAATCTAGTTTTGGGGATCGAACCCAAACCTTTGTGCTTGCCAAAGTACATGCTTGGCCCACTGAGCTGTCTCTTCCCTCTCCCCACATACTGTTTTTGAGTCAGGGTCTTGTTGTGTAGTCCAGGCTGCCTCAAACTCACACCAATCCTCCTGCCTCAGCTTCCAGGTGCTGGGATTACAAGCATTAGCTATTACCCTGGCTGACAAGGTTATTTTTTTTTCTTTTTTCTCTCCTTTGTCTTTTGCAGTACTGGGGAGTGATGGGGATTGAGGCCAGAGTCTCATACACGCCAAGCAAGTGCTCTGCTCTTAAACTGTATTGGTGTTTTGTGTGTGTGTTTGCCTGTTTGCTTATTTTAAAGACAGAGTCTGCTATAGCCAAAGCTGGCTTCAAACTAACTGTGTAGCTCAGGATGACTTTGAACCCCTGATCCCTCCTGCTTACTCCACCCCCTGAGTCTTGGATTTACAGGTGTGTGCCACTGCATTTGATCTTATATGGTCCAGGAAATGAAAACCGCAGTGTGGTGATTTGATGAGATGTTCCCATAAGTCTCAGACATTTGAATACTTGGTCCTCAGTTAGTTGCTGTTTGGGGAGGATTAGGAGGTGTGGCCTTTCTGGAGGAAGTGCTGTGAAGTTTCCAAAGACTCATGCCATCCCCAGTGCAAGCCTTCTGCTTGCAGTTTGAGATGTGAGCTCTGCCACCATGAACCCATAAGCCCAGTCAAATGCTTTCTATTATAAGTTGCATTGGTCATGGTGTTTTATCACAGCAACAGAACAATAATAACTAATACACAGTACTTTCTGCATGCTCCACCCACAGACCTATGTCTCCTATCTGAGGGTGTGTGTGTGTGCCTTCATGTGTATCCAGTTACATGTTTATATGTGCATGTGTGTGCATATGCATGTAGAGGTCAGAGGACAACCTTGTGTATTGTTTCTCAGAAGCGATCCACCCTGTTCTTTTGAGGCGGGATCTCTCACTGGAGAAGTAGGCTAGACTGACTGGCTTGCAAGCCCCAGGGATCCTCTACTTGCCGCCTTGCTCCCCCTTAGGAGCACTTGGATTACAGATGTGAACTACCACATCTGGCTTTTATGTGAGTTTTGAGGATTTGAACTTGGGTCTGCACACGTGTGCCACTGAATCATCTTCCTGGGTCTATTTATATATACATATTATAAATCACATTAATTTATTTAGTGTGTATATGTGTGTGCTTATGCCCAAATGCATGTGCCATGGTGTGCATGTGGAGGCCTAAGGACAATTTGTAGGAATTGATTCACTCCTTTTTACCAGGTGGGCACTGGGAATCAAACCCAGGCTGTCAAACTTGGTGGCAGGTGCTTTTCCTCCATAGGTATTTTACCAGCCCCTTATTTATTATTTTTGAGACAAGGTCTCATGTAGCCCAGGCTGGCCTCAAACTTGAGATGTATCAAAAGATGACCTTGAACAGATCCTCATGCCTCCTCCTCCTGAAGGTTGGGATTGAAGAGTGCACCCTCACACCTGATTTTACAAAATAGTGAGGATGGAACCAGAGCTTTGTGCATGCTAGGTAAGCACTCTACCAACTGAGCTGCACCCCTGGTCTCCATTTCTGTTTAAAATTTAACTCAATTAAAGACTCTTAGAGGGTTTAAAAATACGTATTTACCCCTTCTCCCTCTGTGTGTGAGGAGGCACATGTGCTATGGTATGCATATAACGGTCAGAGAACAACCTGAAGGATTCATCTTTCCCTTTCCTCTGTGCAGGTTGTTAGGCCTAGTGGGAAACATCTTTCCAAACTGAGCCATCTCCCCAGCCCTATTCTTAATTTTTGAGATAAGGTATTGATATGTAGCCCAGACTGACCTTGAACTCACAATCATCCTGCCTCCATCTTCCCAGCACTGGGATGATGGTGTGTGCCACCACACCTGCTTCTTCCTTCATTTTGAGGTCAGAGTTCCAAGTAGTTGTAAACACTGGCCTTCTCATTCTCATGAGACACGGTGTCTCCTGAAACCTGGAGCTAGGAGGCCGGTAGCCAGAAGCCCCGGCCTGTCCCTGTCCCTTCACAGAGCTGGGATTCCAGCTTCTTCCATGGATGCTGGAATTTGAACTCAGGTCCTTAGGTTTGCTCAGCAAGAGCTCTCACCTACTGACCATCTCCCAAGTCCCTTAGCTTCCTTTAAAGCCCTAAGTTTCTTTTACTCACCAAGACCTGCCTGGTGTAGTTCCCTGGAACGTGCTTTGTCATCATGTCCCTGACTTCTTGAACTTGAAAGTAGCCCATATCCCAGTGAACGATTACAGAAAATGTCGATGGTCTCCTAGTCTTTAATCTCTCCCGCTGGGGCAATCTACTCACCGCTCTGTGGCTGAGATAAAAACATGTTATTGCTCTACTGAAAAGCCTCGAAAATCACACAGACAAAAATTCGTTGGGGCATTCACAGCACTCTGCCATTTGGTCTAAATCCGTCTTCATGGTCACCCACTGCAGTGTCACTTCCTGCAGAACATCAGCTCTGACCCTCTTTTCCTCTGTGTATGTGTGTGTGTGTGTGTGTGTGTGTGTGTGTGTGTGTGTGTGTGTGTGTGACACGTGAAGTCAGAGAACACCCTTTTGTCTCCTTTTGTTTGAGACAAGGCTAGCTGGCCCATGAGCTTGCAGGGACCTGCCTGTTTCCACCTCCCAGCTCACCATCCCTGGAATTACGGCACATGACATGGTACATGATTCTTGGTGTGGTCCCCACATTTTCGAGACAAGTGCTCCAAAGTGTGACTGAGCCATCTTTGCGGCTGTCAACTGTCATCTTGAGAGTCAAGTTAGTAAGTCATTCTCAATTCTCCCACGATCCTTAGGTTCATTACCTTAATGGCTTTGACCTGTCTTTGTATGAATGACTTCTCTGTCTCTAGAACCCACTCTTCTACACCAGGGACTATTCCACTCATCACTATGTGACCCAGGAGGATTGTTACATTGTTTAGGTGGACTGCAGGGCAGAACTGTTCTGGACTCAGACACTTGGATTCTTTCAAAGGAGGGATATACTAGTTTAGCATAATCTTATCTATATGGAATTCCAGTCCTCCCTCCTTACCTCCTCTCCCTCCTTCTTTCCTTTCTTTGTGACACTAGAGATGGAATCCAGGGCCTCACACATAACTAGGTAGGTACTCTATCACTGAGCCACACCCCAGCCCCTCACTGGGGGATTCTAGGCAGGGGCTCTGTCACTGAGCCACACCCCAGCCCCTCACTGGGGTAGTCTAAGCAAGTTCTCAATGTAGTTAGGAGTTACATTCCTAACCCTTTTCTTATTTTTTATTTTGAAACTGTCTCACTAAGTGGTCCAGGCTGGCCTTGAACTCACACTGTAGCTCAAGCAGGCTTTTAACTTGAGATCTTTCTACTTCAGCCTCCTAAAAATCTGGGATGACAGGCTTTTGCCACTAGGACCTGCTCTGGTATTTTTGAGTTTTTGCCCATCGACTGTAAAGATGGCTCAGCAGTTAATTGTAATTTGCAGATGATCCAGGTTTGATTCCCAGCACCTCCATGGTGGCTCACCACAATCTTGACTTGGGTTCCTGGGAGTCCAACACCCTCTTTTGACCTCTGTGCATGTGGTCAAAACATTCACACATGTAAAATAAAGTTAATAAATCTAAAATGATGTTTTAGTTTAGCATAAATGGTGTTCACAGAAAGCCCTCTCACTAGGGAGGCTGAGACAGGAAGGTCCTCAGTTGGAGGCCAGACTGGGCTATATAGCAAGACTTTGTCTCCAAAAAACTTTCTTCTTTGTTTTTTGCAGGGTCCTGTGTTCTCCAGGCCGCTCTCAAATATGCTCTGTGAATGAGAAGGGCTTTGAACTTCTGATGGTCCTGTCTCCGTGTCTTCAGAGCTAAGATTACAGGCACATACCTCCATGCTTGGTTTCCAAAAGTAAAAAGGACTTTTTATTTTAAACATTTCTGTAGCAGGAATCTTAAAGGTTCTTATTAATAAAATCAAACCCGAGGCCATTTATTGGGGTGAGTACTGGAAGGTCAGAGAGACAGAACAAGCCACAGCTGTCTCATCTCGCCCGGATCCTCAGCTGGTCTTGTCTCCTCATACTGGAGGCCTCTGAGTCCTCATCCGGAATGAATCTCAGCTGAACTGTGTTGCTCCATAGCCTGAATGCTTAACCAGCCAAAATCTTAACCAGCCAAAATGCTTAACCAGCCAAATGCTTCTAATTTCTGGTCCTCATGCCTTATATATCTTTCTGCTTTCTACCACCACTCCCTGGGATTAAAGGCTGGCTTTCTGGAATTAAAGGCGTGTGTCACCACGCTTGGCTATTTCCAATGTGGCCTTGAACTCACAGAGATCCAGAGGGATTTCTGTCTCTGGAATGCTAGGATTAAAGGTGTGAGTGCCACCATTTTCTAGCCTTTGTATCTAGTGGCTGTCTGTTCTCTGACCCCAGATAAATTTATTAAGGTACACAATATTTTGGGGAACACAATACCACCACACATTTCATTATTTGTGTGCATTCACGTGTGTTTCTTGGAGTGCGAATGGGATGTCAGAGAACTTGTGGGAGTAGGTTCCCTCCTTCCATAGGGTGGTTCCTGGGGGGATCAGAACACGCTATCAGACTTGGTGGCCCACAAGCCTCACAGAGTTTTCCTTTCTCTGTTTCCATCTCCTTGTGGGAGCGCCAGGATGACACATGTGTGCCCTGCCATGTCCAGCTTTTTATTTGGTCGCTGGGTGTCTGAACTCATGTCCGCATCATTGAATGATGAATGCTTTATACGATGAGCCGTCTCCCCAGCTCCATACTTTGGGTTTTGAAAACGACAACATGATGGAAATGCCAGGGTTCCAGATGAATCTACTCCTGTTTATTGTCTATCAGACACTACAGCCAGAGGTGAGTAGGTCCATAGTTCTTCCTGCTCTGTGCCTGAGGTGGACCTCATTGCCTGTGTCAATGCCAGGGACCTATATGAGTTGGCAGGGTGTGTGGACGCCGGGGAACCCCACAGTATCCAGTTTGTACAGGAGACTGTGTGATGGAGAACACACAGCCATTGCTCCTGATTATGTGACCAAAAGGGCAACTTCTCTTTGGAATCAGGACAGAGCAAGGAGCTGGCACACCCTCCAAGCAGAGACTTCTAAAAGGAATGTTCCAGACTTGTACATTCTTTCTCCTAGTTCTAATCTGTAGCAAGGGTGTGACTTGCCTTCAGCACCACTGACTGATCACAACCATGGTACTCAGGAGAGATGCCTTATGATCAAGATGACTAGGTGAGTATAGTTTTGGTTTCTTCTTTCTCTTCCTCTTCCTCCCCTCCCCTCCCCCATGTGTGTGTAGGTGTACACACTCATATATATGTACACTTGCAGAAGCCAGAGGAGGATATCAAATGTCTCTACCTTGAGAATGGGTCTCTTGAGACAGGGTCTCTCCCAAGCTGGAAGAGACCAGCTCACCATTTTGGATAGGCTGGCTAGCCAGGGAGGTCCTGGGATCCACCTGTCTCCACCCCCAATGCTGGAGTTACCGAACATACATGACTGTGTCCTGCTTTTATTTCATGCCCAGCTTTGTAAGTGGGTGCTTGGGATTTGAACACAGGTCCTCATACTTGCAGAACAAGGACTCTGACCTACTGAGTCATCTCTCTAGCTCCGGTTTTATATAAAGTCTTTAACATTTAAAATTTTCATTTATGTATATGTGTGTATCAGCATTTGTGTGGGGGTGTCCAAAGAAGCTGGAAGAGGGTGTTGGATCTCCTGGAGCTGGAGTTTCAGGCAGTTGTGATCTGTCTAACATGAGTGCTGAGAACCAAACTTGGGTCCTCTACAAGAGCAGTGTGTCGTCTTAATTGCTGAGCCATCTCTCCAGTCCTTGTTTCTTACCTCTTGAGATATGGATACCTTTGTCCATCTTCCTCTCTCTGTATCTCCCTGTTTCTACCTCTCTCCCAACCCTCTCTCCAGGGATTAAGAACACTAGGCAAGTGCCTCTGTGTCAATCTGAGTACTCAGTGTACAACTTCCATCCTCATATGGTTATGAAGGCTGCTGCAGTGCCAGCCGTCAAATGAGCATCCAAGGGGGTCTAGGAGAGGCTCCCACAACACCGTTCTTTTCCTGGCTGTGACTTCTCTGTTTGTTTCCAACAGGGAGTGGGGATGGCAAAGGCTTCTCCCCTGTAGCATGTACCACCTACCAGAAGGTCCAGGGCTCCCTACAGGTACTCAGGTACAAGTGCTGGGGGAGCTAGAAAGTGAGTAGTGAGAAGTGAGGTTTGGGGAGATGAAGGGGTGGGGCCTCTTCCTACTAGTTGGTGCTGGCTGCTGAGAACCTCTAGCTTATGCCTTTAGCAAGCAGTGAAACCCACTACAGAGCAATTAGGATGAGGCAAGTCAGACAGCCTAGACAGGATGAAGAATCCAGCACAAGTGCTGAACACTGTCAACCAAAGCAAGAGGGTCACACCTGTCCATCTCCTGCAAGCCACATCCTGAGGGATTCCAGGTAGACACCCTTCCACAGAGCCACGCCATAGCCACTCCCTGGGGGATTCTAGACGAGGGCTTTGGTGAGACCTCAGGCACCATGGTGGTGAAGATGAGGAGGGGTATTATTATATGGTAGGTGGCAGCCAGTCTTTATCACCTAAGGACAATGACCCACCTAACATACTGGAAGACACAATGGCTTGTGTCCATAGTGTCCTCAGTACACAGTATGTTCAGTGGCCACCAAGGATTAGAGCTGCTTGACCCGGTGGGGCCACTAGCCGTAAGTCAGATTCTCACACAGCATAACAGGTTCCCGGTATCTCCCGTGTGCTGTCATCCCACTGAGAGATGACCTCAGGGACCTGTATGTTTTTATTGAAGACTGCTGGAGGGACAAGGAGGTGAGACTTCATGGCCGTTGTGTGCCCTTCAGCTATTCTGAGAAGGTGTGGGACTCTGCCAACCTCTCAGCTCAGCTGTAGGCACCCCTAGGCGGGCAGTGGTATGCAGGCAATGGATGGGGGATGGTCGACACTAGTCCCACAGAATATGTGATCTCAAAGATGGCCCCCATGTATTTCTGTAGAGAGAAGTGGGTATAATGGGGTCTGTTTTGAGTAGGAAAGGTGTATTAGTTTTTTTTTTTTTTTTAATTGGCTATGACAAAATACTTGACAAATGCCACTCAAGGAAGGAAGGGTTTGTTTGAGCCAGTTTGGGAGCTGTCTTTTATGGTGAGGAAGTCATGGCAGCTGGAACATGAGGCAGCTGGCATCCATAGTCAGGAAGCAGAGAGAGATAGATGCTGGTGTTCAGCCCGCTTTTTTTCTTTCTGTTCAGTCCAGAATCCCAGGCCAGGGAAGTGTGCTGCCTACATTCAGGGTGGATCTTCCCACATCAGATGAGCCTCCCTGGAAACACCGTGATAGACAAGCCCAGTGCTGTGCCTCCCAGATGAGTCTCATCAGGTCAACAGTGGAGATTAACTACCACAACAGGGACTAGCCGGGGATTCCTGCTGGGGACACACCCCATGGGGACTTCACCAGTGGACTGTGCACCGTTGGGAATCAGCTGTGTGTGAAGTCACAATTCTCCCTTTGCAGATATGGGAAAGATGTGGTTAAGGGTGACCCCCAAGTGTCCCGTCTCTACATGGCTATTTTGCTGTCTGGCTTTGTGCCACCAGAGATCGCCCTTGTATTGTCCTTGTGTGTTCATATTGTGCTGATTTGGAGGGCTCCCACCAGCCTCCAGTTGTGGGTGTGTTGGATGACCTTGTGCTCTGGGCCTTTGTAGTATCTACGAAGAGCTCTGTCTTCCCCTGTGCCAGGCCATGAGCCATGTGTGGTACTTAACAAAAAGAGTTCCAGGGTGTTGGCAAGGACTACCTCTCTTAATTATCATTGTCTTGGTCTTGGGACACATGGAGGACAAAATATCAGAATTGACTAAGTTGGAGGCATAGTTCAGCAGTACATTGCTTTTCTAGAATCCCCCAGTGAGGCGCTGAGGTGTGGCTCAGTGGTAGAGTTCCTGCTAGCATGCATGAGACCCTGAATTCATTCCCAGCAGTGTATAGGTACACACACACACACACACACACACACACACACACACACACACACACTTCAAAACAAAAATCCCACGCACCAAGTTTCAAGTTTCAAGTACCCCAAGATTCAACTTTATGCTGTTCTATTATGACTTCACAGGTCTCCACCCTCAATTCCTCACTCCACCTATAATCTATTTTCCAGCCTCACAATTTTGCCATTTAAAGGATGTTATACAAATGGAATAATATAGAGTGTAACCCTTTGAGCCTGGCTTTCTCTGCATTCTGTCTAATTCCCGTGTGAACTATCAAAGTTACCGTGTATGTCACGGTCTTTTCTTTGTACGGCTAAGTAGCATTCACGGGGTGATGTTACAGTTTTAATGGAGGACACTGGGTCTTTTCCAGTTTTTGTCTGTTATGAACAAAATTCCTCTGAACAGTCGTGTGTGTGTGTGTGTGTGTGTGTGTGTGTGTGTGTGGTGTCCCAGTGAGTTTAATTAGGATTACTATTTCCAGGAGCATGTACAGAGTTTACTGTGAAGTTTCAACATTTGTTCCCCAGCAGGTGGCACTGTTTGGGAACGTTGTGTGACCCGTGGGAGGTGGGACTCAGCAGAGACAGGACCTGAGGATTACAGCTCTCTGCTCCACTTTCCATCCTGTCCCTGCTTCCTGTTCTGCTAAGATGAGAGGAGGTGAGGGGTCCCAGCCACCTGCTCCCACTTCCATGGAGCCATCTTGCTTTCGTCAGGTCATCTGTCCCCAGATAATAATACATAGCCATAGCCACATGTTTTCCCAGTTAGCTTCAGTCCCTGCCATGAGCTATTGCTTCCCAACCCCATGACTGTTGCCAGTGGCAATAGAAAACACAATGTATGATGCCGATATGGTGGCCAGCTCTCTCCTTCCAGCTCTACTTATTTATGCCCCATGCCTTATGCATGTGGTGGTTAACAGCAATCGTCAACTTGATAGGATCTAGAATCACCTTGGAGACAAACCTCTGCGAAGGTCTGTGAGGGAGTGTCTAGATTAGGTTCACTGAGGAGGGAACACCCACCCTGAATGGCACCGTCCCATGGTCTGAGGTCCTGGACTGAGTAAAAAGCAAAAAGCGAGCTGAGCCAGGCAACCGTCACAGCTTCCTGACTGGATGCAATGTGACCAGCCGCCTCACACTTCTATCATCCTGCCTTCCCTGCCCAAATGGACTGTGCCCTCAAATGGTGAGCCAGAATAAACCCTTGTCTCTAAGTTGCCTCTGTCTAGTATCAAAAATGAGAGAATGTCTCAAAAAGGAGAGAAATAGCTGATACAATGTTGCAGGCATGCCCAACTGTGACCACAGCTTTGACACTAACAAGGGGTCTTGACCTCAAGCTGGTCCTGGCACCCTACTTCCACTTCTGTTGCCTTGATGAAATACTGAGGTAAGAAAACAACTTAGCAGAGAACAGGGTTTATTTTAGCCCAGGATTCCAGGTTGCAGTCCATTACAGCAGGTAAATCAAGGCAGGAACTTAAAACATCTAGTCCCATCACAGCTGTGGTTCAGAGCAGAGTGAAATGGTTCATACACACTTGCTTGTTTACACTCAGCTCAATTTCTCTACTCTCATACAGCTCAGGACCCTCTGTCTAGGTAATGGTGCCACCCACGTGATTAAGACAAGTGAGGCTGGAGATATGGCTCAGTGGTTAAGAGTACACACTGCTCTTGCAGAGGATCTGAATTTGGTGTTCAGGACCCATGTCAGATGGCTGACCACTGCCTGTGCTTCAGGGATCTGATACCCTCTACTGGCTTCCTTGGGTGCTGCACTCATGTGCACAACCCACACATGTTTACACATACCTAAAAATAAAAAAATCTTTAACAACAACAACAACAACAACAACAACAACAAAAGACAGTTCCCCACAAACATGTCCACAGGCCAAACTGATCTAGAGAATTCCTCATTGAGACTCTCTTCTCAAGTGATTCTATGTTGTCTCCAGTTAACAGCCCAAACCAACCATCACTGGTAGTGAAATTAGCGATTTTCATATCCATTGTGCTGGAAGAGAAAACTCACATGACCTATGGTCACAGGGCACACGTTGGTTCTTGGCCCCACCCAGAGGGGTGGAGTCTTTATGAGCTGGTAGACAACAAATGACAAAAAGCCCAAGAGACAGAGGTGGCAACGGCAGTTGGATGAACATGTGTGAGTGAGTAGAGCTTCTGGGACTTGCTCAGGAAGAACTGGGTGTTCCCAGAGACCCAGTCAAGGCAGTGGTGGCAGTATGAGGTTGTGAGGCTGAGTCTAAGTCACACATCCATTTCTGATTTTAAATGGGACTGATTAGCTTTAGCCACTGCTTGCTTAGCTATATAGATTTTTTTTTCATCCAGGGGTTAAATCAACTACTCACAAAGAATGGTTCTTGTCATAACTGAATTAGAAAGCCAAAGGTTAGGGTCATGGCTCAGTGGTAGAGCACCTGCCAAGAATCCCTCAGTGAGGAGCTGGGGTGTGGCTCAGTGGTAGAGCACCTGCCTAGAATTGCCCAGTGAGGGGCTGGGATGTGGCTCAGTGGTAGGGCACCTGCTTAGCATGTGTGGAGCCCTACTTTTAATATCCAGTGCTGAGACATCAAAATAGTGTTCCTCAGAATGTTAGTTGTGTCACATAATCTTCACATGGACTGTCTTCCTAATGTTGACATGGTCATTAGCTCCATCATTTAAACTTATTTTAGAGAGGAACAAACTGAAGTCTAAAGGTAAATGGTTTGCCTGAGTGCATAATAATGTCAGAACTCAAGCTTTGAATTCCCCTCTTCAGGGGCCCAAGCATCCATTGGCAGATGGGCTGGGGAGATTGCTCAGTGGTTAAAGCACTCACTTGTAAAGTGTGAGGACTGGAGTTTGGGTCCCCAGAACCCACATAAGAACCTGGTGGGTTTGGTAACCCAGCCTAACAAGGTGAAGATGGGGATGGGATCCCCAGAGCCAGCGGTTTAGGGAGACTAGGCATGTGAGTGAGCTCTGGGTTTAAGTGAGACCCCCTGCCTCATAGGACAAGGTGGAAGGAGACTGATGGAAGATGATTCCTGACATCAACTCTGGGCACACATACACCCATGTGCTGTTAGTTTTATGTCAACTTGACACAAACTAAAGTCGTCAGAGAGAGGGGGCCTCAACTGAGAAAATGCCTCCATAAGATCAGGCTGTAGGCAAGCCTGCAGGGGATTTTCTTAAATAGTTATTGATAGGGGAGGTCCCAGCCCATTGTGGGTGGTGCCACCCCAGGCTGGTGGTCCTATAAGAAAGCAGATTGAGCAAGTCATGAGGATCAAGCCAGTAAGCAGCACCCCTCCATGACTTCAGCATTAGCTCTTTCTAGCCAGTTTGGGTTCCTGCCTTGACTTCCCTCATTGGACTGTAATTCTGGATATGTAAGGCAAATAAACCCTTTCCTTTGCACGCTTTTGGTCATGGTGTCTCTTCACAGTAATAGCAACCTCAAGACAACCTGTGCACATGAGCACCTACACATGTGTGCCCCACACAGGTACAGCAACAACAAAACATAGAACAACCCATACAAACATACAAACATGCACACACCCCCACACACCTGAAAAACAGAAAAAAGGAAAAAAAGCTGAACCTTGTAAGTGAAAGAGTTTGGGTTCATAGTTACTAAGGTGTTATTACAAGACCTGGAATGCTCCACACCTTTTTGGGAGATACGGGCCCTTTTTGATTCTGTGAGTTTTGAGACCCCACAGGCAGAACATTAGTGAAGTTCCCCCCTCACAACTTGGCACCTTTCACAAGATTCTGGGGTTCAATGCAGCATGCCCAGAAGTGGGAATCCTCAATCTGATTGGGCTTTCTCCACCTAGCATTGGATCTGAGTTCTAGATTTGGAGATGGCGAGGTGTGTGGGGATTTAGTCAGGTTGGGCCAATTTGTCTGTTCATCATTTAGGATGGGGTTGTCCCCTGTCTGGAGCCACCATTCTGAAACCAGCAGCCTTGATGCACATGTCTGTGGTCTTTTAAAGTGGGATATCTCAGCTCCTATGGGGTTTCAGCCATGACAGAGAGGCATCCTGGCCCGCACTCCTGCCAGAATAGGTTCAGTCTTGCCCTGACTTGGAAGGCTTAACCAGGATATTAAGGATCTTCAGGCGTGCCTGATGCCCTTGCAGGGGTGTGGTGAGGGTCAAATTAGCTATGCATGAGAAAGTGCTTAGAGGGATTAGATGCCCTGTACACTCAGTAATTTTCTTTCTAGATCTCTTTCTTTCCCTCCTTCTCGCCCCCTCTGTGCATGTGTGTCTGTGTATACCAGTCCACGCATGTGTGGGCATGGAGACCAGAGGACAGACAACCTTGAGTGTCCTTTGGCCACCACCCACCACTTTTGAGGCAGGGTCTCTCACTGGCTGGGAGTTTACAGGTACCTCAGGCCAGCTGGCTAGTGAGCACCAGGGATCCTCCTGTCTCCACTCCCCAGCTCTGGGGACATGAGTGTGCGCCACCATGCCTGTCTTTTTCACGTGGGTTCTTTCACGAAGATCGGGTCCTCACACTTATGAGCCAAGCACTGTATTGGCTGAGATATCTTCCCAGTCTCATAAACACAGAGTTTTGCGATTACTGGGTGGAAAAGGAAGCCAGAGGGGGAGGCTGTTGGGAAGGTGCGTCACTTTTATATCTGGAGCGGAGGCCAGAGCCAAATGGTTGTGTCTTCCTGACTCCCGATGCTTTTGCAGGGACTGGCTGGTGGAGGGTGTGGCTTAACTCTGACATTTTGGCTCTCGGCTGTTGTTTGCACAGAAGCCCTGAACTGAACACATCTGCCAGCTAGATGAAATAAAAGCTTTACTCAGGCTCCAGGAAGGTGATCATTTGTATTATGTGGGAGCAGCTATTTGTGAAAGTGAGAAATTTTCTTAGGAAAACAAAGATGGGCGGGTGAGATGGCTCTACCAGGAAAGGCACCAGCTGCCAATCTGAGGTCCTGAGTTTGATTCCCAGAACCCACACAGTGGAAGGATATAACCAACTCTCCTGAAAGTTGTCCTCTGACCTCCCAACTAAAACCACAGCACACATTTGTCCATGAACATACACGCATAGGGTAACTTTTAAAAATGTAATAAGGGGCTGGAGAGATGGCTTGATGGTTAAGGGTACTGGATTAGATTCCCGGCACCCACATGGTGGCTCACAGCAGTCTGTAACTCTAGTTCCAAGG